TGCGGGCGCCACTCTGCCTGCTCCTGCTCGTCGCCCACGCCGTGGACATGCTCGCCCTGAACCGAAGGAAGAAGCAAGGTACGGGGGGTGACAGGACAGGGCGGCCGGGCAGGCGCTGCTGGGCAGACCGGGGGCCGGGAGGCCGGGGGTGGCGGCTTAGGGGGCATCTGCCTGGTGCCTGGCGCCCTGGATCATTTGCTCCTCCAGATGAGTCTCAGCCTCACTTTAAATGGGGAGACTAAGGCTCCAGGGCATCCAGTGAGCGAGCCATTGAGCCAGGGTGGGCCAAGGAGACTCTCCCAGAAGGTAGAGGGTAGCAGGGCTCTCTGTAGTAGCCACATGGTCGGCAGAAAGGAGGACGGCTCCGTGCAGAGACAGAAGCCTCAAGAGCCAGACTGGGGGGCACAGGGACTAGGAGACAGACTCAGTAGCTTAGAAGTCATCCCAAGCATCCACACTGGGCCAGGAAGTGACATTGAGAGCCCTGGGCTGGGAGTCCAGAGGCCCCAGTCCCAGCCTCATCACTCTCCCTGACTCCTGGTGTCACCTCCCAGAGGGCAGTGATCCTCCGTGGCCCCCTCTGTTGAGTTCAGCCAGACCTGAGACCTGAGTTCAGGTTCATTTATTCTAATAGGGGATGGCCTAGAAGAAGCCCAGCCCCTCAGAGAGCCTTAGTTTTTCCATCTTGACCTCCCAGGCCGCTAGGAAGATGAGCCAAGGTTCAGATCAGAAATGTACCAGGGGCCCATGCACTCTCACCTGGGAGTCCTATGCCACAGCCTCGCTGTGAGGGTCAGAACATCCTCAGAAGGTGTCCCTGCAGAGCAGGAATTGGTAGAGACTGTGCCTCAGAGAAGGGTAAGCAGGTGAGCAAATGAGCAAATCACCTGCCTGAGCTGGGCAGCCCTTTGGCCTCCAGGTGCCACTCTTAAGATCAGCAGCCGAATGCCAGCCACTGTGCCAGGGGTTTTTCATGTCCTAGCTCATCAAATCCCAACTATATCCTCACGACACAGGGGTCATCCAGTTTTAGTAAAGCCTGGGATTCCAAGGCTCAGACTGGTTTAAATAACTGCTGAATTGTCCAGCTGGTGTCTTCTCTCTTTCCAGCCCTGGCATTGGGTGTGAGCAAGGATAAAGGGGAGAGAAAATGAGAGAGAATGGCTTGCCCTCTGGGGCCTTCCATTTGTGTGAAAGCTCTACAGTGACAGTCACTCCTGAAACAGAGCAGAAAGCAGACAGAGGCTGTAGGAGAATTGGGAGGTGGGATTGGATGGGGTCAGGGAGACTGTGGCCCAAGAGTCTCCAGTTCTTGCTGTGACAGTGGGACAAGGGAATGGAGAGGCATGTGGTTTTCAGCTGAGCTGGGGTGAGTTTGGGACTCTATGGGGACACTCGTTTGTGAATGGCCTTTGTTTAGTAGTTAGGGGCATGGGCTCTGGAGCCAGGTCAACTGAGTTCAAATCCCAGCTTCGCCATTTACCAACTGAGTGACCTTGGATAAGTCACTTTGCGTCTCCAATTCTCACTTTACCCATCTGAGGGTCCTTTAGAAGATATCTGAGATCCTTCTCCATTCTAAACAATACCAAAAAATCAAACAAACCCCCTTTCCCTTCATTAACCCATCTTTTACTTAAGTATCCTGCTCATAAGGACGATTGTGGGCAAGACTGAGTGTGTATGGGAAATGAGTAGCTGAGGACACAGGCTCCTAACGGGTGCTGGTAAGTATTAATCATTCTCATTTCCTGTCCACTGTGTCCTTGGCTACTCACAATGGCCTAGTGGAGGGAGGGGAGAGACGCTTGTTTTCTGGATGAGGGAACTGAGGTTCAGAGAAGGAAACTGACTTGTCCAAGGTTGCACAGCAGGTGAGTAGCAAAGCAGGCTCGAATCCCAATCTGCCTGACATAATGCTGAGAAGATATCTTCTGAGGTGTGCTGGTCTTCCCTTCTCAGAGCCTCAGTTTCCTCATCTAAAGAGGAGCTGGTTTAGGCCAGGTGTGGTGGCTCATGCCTGATACCAGCACTTCAGGAAGCCAAGGCAGGCAGATCACTTGAGGTCAGAAGTTTGAGACCAGCCTGGCTAACAAGGTGAAACCCTGTCTCTACTAAAAATACAAAGATTAGCTGGGTGTGGTGGCGGGCGCCTGTAATTCCAGCTACTTGGGAGGCTGAGGCAGGAGAATCGCTTGAACCCAGGTGGCAGAGGTCGCAGTGAGGCAAGATCTTGCCACTGCACTACAGCCTGGGTGTCAGAGTGAGACTCTGTCTCAACGACAACAATGACAACAACAAAAAAGAAAAAAAAAAGAGCTGGTTTAGAAGACTTTAAGATGCTTCTCAGCTCAAAAAAGACAAAAAAAAAAAAAGAAAAGAAAAATGATAAATTTCTATCCTGCCCCTTTTGCCCCCCACCCCATCTACAGCTCACCACCACCTCCCCAGGAGCTCAGTGAGGAGGTAGGGATATGGCTGCAATTTGGTGAGGGGCTCTCGGCATCCCTCCTCCAGTACCTGATCTCTTGTCTCTGGGACACACACCTGCCTAGCATCTTCAGAAGAGGCTTAGGGCTCCTTTTATTTGTTGGATACGACGGAGATAGCCTTGGATTTCAGTCACACCCCTGACCCAGTTGTGTCATGTGACCTTGGGTGAGTAGATTTTCTCCGTCCCCCACCCATAGCCTCAGTTGCCCATTGGCACTGGAGTGGGGACCAGAGCTAGATAAACCCTTCCTGTAGCATCTTTTGCAAGGCAGCCACAGGAGTTCTGGTCAAATAGATTGGGAAATGCTGGGTTTAGCAGATTTCTTGGCAGTGAGACTTATCAGAGCATGCTGAAGAGGTGGAGATAGACAGTGTAACCCAGGTGTGATGGCTCAAGCCTATAATCCCGGCACTTTGGGAGGCCAAGATGGGAGGATAGCTTGAGCCCAGGAGTTCGAGACCAGCCTGGGCAGCATGGCAAAACTCTACAAAAAATACATTTTTTGTCTCTATAAAGAATACAAAAAATAGCCAGGCATGGTGGTGGTGGTGCACACCTGTAGTCCCAGCTACTTAGGAAGCCAAGGTGGGAGGATCACTTCAATCCAGGAAGGACATCAAGGCTGCATCGAGCTGTAATTGTGCCACTGCACCCCAGCCTGGGTGACAGAACAGACGCTGTCTCAAAAAAAAAAAAAAAAAAAAAGGAAAGCGAGAGAGTGACCTTTCCCAAATATATTACACATCAGAGACCATTTCTCATAAGGCATCTGCTTGGAAAAATTCTGTACATAATCCCTGAGGGTCCTACCAACTTTGACCTTATCTAACTTTGGAAGGAGAATGTGTCCTGAAAACACCTGGCTGTTGGCAGTACTTCATTCATTTATTCATTTACTTGCTCATTTAACAAGTTTCACAGGGCAGCCTCTGTGCCAGGTTCTGTGTCGGGGACCTTGGAGATACCCAGGTGAGCAGCCCTGGGCCTGTCCTTGGGGAACGGCCAACACAGAGGGATGACCCTTTCCCACCTTTCTCCAGTCTCCCCGGTGCCTGAGTCTTTGGCCTTAGCGTTTGGCCAGGTCTGCACGATCCCGAGGAATGATCTGCTGGGCTGGCATCTGCCCTGTCTGAGCCCCCTTGAGGCCTGGTTCCCACAGACCCATCCTTCCTCAGGCTCCGGCGTAACTGCTTCTTAATGAAGCCCAATTTTTCTGTTTCTAAGAAAGAATGAAATAAAAGACTTGAGAAAGATTCTTGAACCTCAAGTGTCTCTTACAAAACAACATTTTGATTAATTAAGTATAAATGAATCAGAACCAGATGGGGACATTTTTTTGAAACATGCTGGGGTGTCCTGGCAATGGGACAGTCCGGCAGAGTGAGGGGGCTCTGATTCGCATCCCTAGATCTGGAGGTCCATTTAGGCAAGGAGGAGGTGCCAGCCTGTGACTGACTTTCCCTGACATCCAAGGCCTGCTGGGGAGGGACCCCCACATTCACATGGAGTTTCTGGATCTTTCTAGACCTGAGCAAGCAAGGGGCACAGTGAAGAGTCCTGGATTCAAACCTTGAGCGCTCTCCTGCCCTAGATATGTGACGTTAAGCAGGCCACATGCCTCCTCCCATCCATGCTTCCCCATCTGTGAAATGGGAAAACTTGCACCCACCTCTGAGCAATTGGGAAGATGTACCACAGTCCAAGAGGGAAGGGGGCCGAAGGCACACAGTAGGGGCTTCATGAGGATTTGACCACTTTCCCTTCCCATTTTACAGCAGAGCAGACATGCCCTGGACCAGAAGGGAGTGGGGTCTCACGTGGGTTAAGCTCACCTCCGCCTCTTGCTTGTGATGTATCCAAAGCAAATCTTCTCCTCTCTCTGGGCTTGTTTTTCTTTATTGTAAATTGACTGTGGCGGTGCCCACTCCAGAGGCCCATTATGTGGAGTGAATATGACACTTCCGTTTAAATTGCAAAGCCCCGTGCGGAGGGCCAGGCAGGCAGCCCTGTCTCCTGTACACAGACAGATGCACCAAGCCCTGGGCAAGCAGGAGCCATCGCTGGGCACAGAACAAGGTATGTCCCCTGAGTGCTGGCATCCAGGTGAAGCCAGGTTTAGATGCAGGCGTAGTTCTGAAGGGGATTCCTACAGGGCGGGGGTGGGTAATGACTGGACATTGAGGACTGAGGGAATGGCGCTGAGTCTTAATAGAACGTAACCTTGGGCCTCTCGGCTTGGGTTTCTTCATAACATAGGGGCTGGCTGAGAAATGGAAAGCTGAATTCTTGGCACATAGTAGGTGGTCAATCGAGTTTTATTTGCCATCCTTCTTCCACTCAGCATTCTGAAGCCAAGCCTGGGTGCAAAAGAGATGCTGCTTTTCCATCCCATTGCCCCACCTCCCTCTCCTGTGGATGGAAACTATCCAACCCCCCTGCCTGGCCACCGAAGGAGATTCAGGCCACTGAGATTGAGGCCACGGAGCAAGGAGGGAGGCGAGCCACGTGCCGGGAACTGTGCAGGTGGGGCTTCGCATCCTCACTCTGCCACTGCCTTGTGTTATGCCTGTTTCCCAGACACAGG